CATAGTTTACCATGCGGTGGTTGCACCGCTAGCCGTAAGTCGGGCGTGTCCTCCTACAGGCGGATTTTGGACGAAAAACTCAGTCCGACCCTGTCGGCGTGTGTAAGAGGCTGTTCCGTTTGACTCGTCGTCGTCGTCGTCGCCGCCTTCGCCGCTCGCTTCCCCCCTGTCCCTAGGCCCGTCGCCGTTCCCCCCACTTTCACCGGCTTCTCCTCCTCGAGCGCGCCAGCCACAGCGAAATTGAGCAACGTTGTAGTTGAGTCGAAAAGAAGCCCCTTCCCTTTGATCCCTTCCCCGCTGGGGGGGGGGGTCCCGGGAGGTCCCCGGCGGGGTCCCGGGTGAGGGGTCCTGGGTGAGGGGTTCCGGGTGAGGGGTCCCGGGGAGGTCCCGGGGCAGATACGACTCCCCCTCGGGCGGTTGGGCAGCAAAGAAAAGCCCGCAGGACGCAACAAAACTGCCCCAAGATGCCCCCAAGACGGTCCTCGAGGGCCCCGAATCGCCGAAGTATCGGTCCAAGTCGCTCAAGTAGCCTCCAGACGGCTCCAAAGGTTTCCAAAACGCCCCAAGAGGCCTCCAAGAGGACTTCCAAGAGGGTCCCGAGAGCAAAAATAATAGATTTCCCGCAAATTCTTTAATTATTTCGGCATTCTCGCCTTGTCAGCTTCCCGACGCTCCAAGACAGGCCAAGAAGCCCCCAAGACTGCCCCAAGATGACCCAAGAGGCCTCCAAGTGAGCCGCAAAACGACCCAAGAGGGCCCCAAGACCGACCAAGAGGCCTCCAAGACAGCCGAAGACGCCCCAAAGACGGCTCCAAGGAGGAGCCCAGACGGGGGACCCGAACGGGCATTTCGAGTCCTCGGCCTGAGAAGCTCTCAGGAGGCCCCCAGAGGTCCCTAAGAAGCCCCCCAAGAAGCCCAAGAAGGCCCCAAGAGACCTCCAGGAAGCCCCGAGAGGCTCACACGAGGCTTCCAAGCGGCGCCCAAGAGCTTCCCAAGAGGCCCCAAAACTACCCCCAAGAGGCCCCCGAGAGCGCTCGTCGTCGTCGTCGTCGCCGTTCAAGGTCGGCTGCACGGGCCGTAAGGCCTTCGCGATGAAAAATAATAAAAAAGGCTCAAAAATAGTCAAAAGTAATCGGAAAATCGTCCTCGAACTATCTTTTAAACTATTTTTGAATTTTCCCCCTGTACAATGGACACGCCCGACTTAACGCTAGCCCTTTTGCAACCATCCGACTGGTCAGGACAGCTGAGGCCATGCTGCCTCCACAGGAACTGTAGCTGCCCCGCTGGGAGCTACTGGGCCGCCAGAGGTACGAGAGTTGTCCACGTCCGTCTGTCGGACTGGCGGGGACGCTGGCTGCAGATGAAGCCGCATCCGCTGCTGAAGAACCATGGGCCACACATGACACGTCTCGGACGGCGAATCGCCCCATGCCGAAACATCCGGTCGCGGAATCTCGCTTGGCAGGTACGATAGCGGGAAATATCGATGCCCAGAGGGGGGCGCGTATCGCGGCGCGCCTCCCCCTCCCCATCCCCTTCCTCAGTTTCCCCTGTGATCAGTTCTTCTCCCACGTATGTTTGTCGTCCCCTTCATCCTCCATCCGAACCTGTTTCTTCAACTCCTCCCCATCCTCCTCCTACTTCCTCCTTCTCCTACTCCTCCTCCTCCTCCTCCTCCTCCTCCTCCTCCTCGTCCTTCTCCTCCCTCCTCTCCTCCTCCTCCTCCTCCTCCCCTCCTCGTCCTCCTCTTCCTCCTCCTCCACCTCCTCTTCCACTGCCTCCTCCCTCCTCCTCCTCCTCAACCTCCTCCTCCTCCTCCTCAACCTCCTCCTCCTCCTCCTCCTCCTCCTCCTCCTCCTCCTCCTCCTCCTCCTCCTCCTCCTGCCGTCCTGTCTGATAAGATGATGATCGCATGTTCCTGTGCAGCTTAATGAATTCCAGCATCAAATGATTCGATAACTGGGTAAGATGAGAAGGACGAGCTGGGTGAGAGCGAGGATGTCGCTGACCGCGCAGGGGCCGAAGACGCGGACGAGGGCGACGGCGGCGACGACAGGGGACGGTGAGGGGGGTACGGGGGGAGGGGGGGGGACGAAGCTCCCCTGCCTCATATTCGATCGGTCCCCGGACCTGTCCTGGAACGTATTCTGACTAGGTGTTCGGGGCCAGTCCAGCCGTGGCGACGAGGGCTCATGCAGGCAATAACGAAGCCAAAGGCGTCAAAATCCCGCATCCAACCTCGGAAAAAAGGTACATGGCGTCGGCGGAGGTGGCGCTCCCCCCTCCGCTGGCTCAAACTTTAAAACTCAAGGCGCGCAAGAAGAGGACGAGGGTGAGCGGAATGAGCCCCTGCGGCCTCAGGATCCTCGGGCTCCCCATCCTCTGCCAGCTGCTCGGGGCCAAGCTCCTGAAGGCCCGCTCGGCCATTCGCGGAAGCGCCCGTCGTCGCCCGTTCGCGCCGTCCGTCGTCACCGCCGCCGTCGTCGTAGCTGCCCGTCGCGGTCCGTCGTCGTTGGCGTCCGTCGCCAGTCGTCGTTGTCGACGTTGACAGTCGGCGCCGTCGTCGTCGTCGTCGTCGTCATCGTCCTCGTCCGTCGTCGCAGCCCCGGGGCGCCCCCGTCGCTTCCCCCCAGAAGGACGAGGGGCCCCCGTCGCTTCCCTCCTTGCAAGTCGGGGCCCTCCTCGTTTTCCCCGTCGCCCCGAAGAAACGAACCTACTTCGACGCTCAGAAATTTCGTCCCAACATCAGAACTTCTCATCTTCCTCCTCCCGCTCATCCTGCTCCACCCCCTCCTCCTCCTCCGCAACCTCCTCCTCCTCCTCCTCCTCCTCCTCCTCCTCCTCCTCCTCCGCCTCCTCTTTGACGTCGAGCGTACTGTAATCCGCGGGATCACGCTCAGAGCGGCGGGACACCCGCGGCGCCCCCGCGCCCGCACGGGCGAGGCCGCCAACACCAACCCACGAGCACGAGCGAAGGAACGAACGGACGCCGGAGTCGTGCGCGCTCCGCTGGGGAGCCCGCCCGTGCCCGTTGGGGCATGGCGGCCCCCAAGAGTATACACCACCACAACGTCGATCCCTCCTCCCTCCTCTGCCCTCTTCTTCCTCGCCTCTTTCCTGGGAGAGGGAGGGGGTCAAGGAGGTGGCGGTGGTGTAGATGTGTGGGCCGCGAAGGCATGACATGGAGGCCGTTGCCTTAACGATGTGGAAACATCGACCGGTACTCCCAACGGCCAAGTTCCTTGCTACTGTGCTCATGCTGTCGCGAATCGATCGCCACCCGAATATGTACCTGCCCAGCGTCCTTGGCGCACGACGGCGGGAGCGAGCGGGAGCCGGAGGAGGGGAGAGAAAAAAAGGATGAGGCGAAGGAGGAAGACAAGGAAGTTTGGGTGATGGGGCAGGGGGAGGGGAGAGGAAGAGGGAGGGAGACGAGGACAGGCAAGCGAGGCTGCGGGAGAGGGGAGCGAGAAAGTAAAAGAGGGAAAGGGATAGGGGTCGATGAAAGGGGGCAGTGATCGGCACGGGGAATGGGAATGGGGAATGGGAGGGGGGGGGAACGGGGAGGAGGGCAGAGAAGGAGGAGGGGGGCGGGCGGGGGGGGGAGGGGTAGCGAGGACGAAGAGGAGCCAGCACCATGACCAGTACTGTACCAGCAGCACGAGCAGGAGGCGCCGCAGGTGGAACCGCAGGGGGAAGGCGGAGGCGGAGGCGGGGACAGAGAGCGGGACTGGGGGGGGGGCGAGGAGGAGGAGGAGGAGGAGGAGGAGGAGGAGGAGGAGGAGGAGGAGGAGGAGGAGGAGGGGCGGGGTACGGGGTCTGGGCGACGGGGCGAGGCCTCCGTCCGTTGCCCCCACCACCCCCTCGCCGCGAGGGGGTGACAGGGCGAATGGCACCCGATCGATGGGCAGGCAGCTCGGAGAGGCGGATGGTCTCTCGGTCTGCTTTCATGGCTGGGAAGGGCGGGGAGCCAGGCCCCAAAAGTCGTGGCTCGTTCAGTGCGTCAGTGCGTCGAGGCACCCCGAACTCTCGACGCCGACGGGCGCATGGACTCCGCAGCGTCGCTCACGCTTCTCGTGGGGCTCGGGTCCCGAAGCGAGCCTCCGAAGGGCCCAGCTGGCCGTCAGGACTTCTTCGGGACGCCAGTGCTCACGGGAGCGGGAGCGGCAACGTCGGCCACTGGGCCTGTCCTGGAGCGCATCCCGGCCAGGACTCCAGAGTGGCGGGGCGCGCACGAGGGGGGGCGATGCGAGGGGGCGCGGCCGTCTGAGGCTTCCAAAATGGCAAGGGGGGAGGCAGGAGCCATCCTGGCTCTGGGGGCAAGGGGGAGGGGGAGGCAGAAGCCTCCTCGGAAGACCACCCCATCCGAGCCAGCCTATGGAGCGCGCCGCCGACCGCGGTGAAGCTTGTCGCCGACGACGAGGAACGCCCATGAGGCCTGGAAAAAAACAAAAACGCTGAAACCCCTCTCGCCTCTCGCCTCCAACATCTAGGTACATTCGGTATTACCCTCAGAGCCCCCCTGAAAACCGTCCAGACTAGCTGTTCGAGCTGCGTCCAGCCGTGGTCACGAGCCCCCCCCCGCTCCCGAAGCCAAGAAACGCGCAACAAACTTCACATCATAGTTCCTGGCGGCGAGGCCGGAGGCGGCGACCAAACGGGGGCTCGTCTCCCAGTCTCCGGGCGACCGCTCGGTCCCAGCCGTGACGACGAGAGAACCCACGAAACCCCTCGTCCTTTTTCCCACCTCCTCCTTCCTCCTTCCCTCCTCGCTCCATCTCTCCCTCCCCATCCCCCCTCCTGCTGAAGATGAGGAAGAAGGTAAGCAATTCTGCAGACAGGGCTCCTTGCCAAATAGTTTCATAATGCTGATGCTGATCACCCCATTAGAATGTGCGCCAGTCTCCCAACTTCAGCGCTGGCCTAAAGCTCCCTCCTCCCTCCTCCCTCCCTCACCCCGCGGGGAGTACCGGGCGTGGGGGGGCACGGGCAGTGTCTCACGGGTGAACTAAAATCCCCTGGGTAGCCAGCCCCAGGATCGGCAGCCACACTCCTTCGGGGGAGCGATCGGGGGTTGGCGACCTGGGCTACCCCCCTTGCTGGGTCCCCCAGCCCCAGGAGAGGGTCCCCAGGCCCTATCCTCCGCTCGCCGCCCAGCTCCTGGAGGCGTGACGGGCAGGTTGATTGCGGTGCCGCGCTCCCTGCCCCTTTGGGCATGTGCCCATTATTTCCCGACATCCTGTGGTGCTGGGTCCTCGTTTTGAAGAGACAGCGCCCCGCGTTCTCCTTCCTCCTCCTCTCCTCCTCCTCCTCCTCCTCCTCCTCCTCCTCCTCCTCCTCCTCCTCCTCCTCCTCCTCTCTCCTCCTCCTCCTCCTCCTCCTCCTCCTCCTCCTCCTCCTCTTCCTCCTCCTCCTCTTCCTCCTCCTCCTCCTCCTCCTCCTCCTCCTCCTCCTCCTCCTCCTCCTCCTCCTCCTCCTCCTCCTCCTCCTCCTCCTCCTCCTCCTCCTCCCTCCTTCCTCCTCCTCCTCCTCCTCCTCCTCCTCCTCCTCCTCCTCCTCCTCCCTCCTCCTCCTCCTCCTCCTCCTCCTCCTCCTCCTCCTCCTCCTCCTCCTCCTCCTCCTCCTCCTCCTCCTCCTCCTCCTCCTCCTCCTCCTCCTCCTCCTCCTCCTCCTCCTCCTCCTCCTCCTCCTCCTCCTCCTCCTCCTCCTCTCTCCTCCTCCTCCTCCTCCTCCTCCTCCTCCTCCTCCTCCTCCTCCTCCTCCTCCTCCTCCTCCTCCCTCCTCCTCCTCCTCCTCCTCCTCCTCCTCCTCCTCCTCCTCCTCCTCCTCCTCCCCTCCTCCTCCTCCTCCTCCTCCTCCTCCTCCTCCTCCTCCTCCTCCTCCTCCTCCTCCTCCTCCTCCTCCTCCTCCTCCTCCTCCTCCTCCTTCCTCCTCCTCCTCCTCCTCCTCCTCCTCCTCCTCCTCCTCCTCCTCCTCCTCCTCCTCCTCCTCCTCCCTCCTCCTCCTCCTCCTCCTCCTCCTCCTCATCCTCCTCCTCCTCCTCCTCCTCCTCCTCCTCCTCCTCTCATCCTCCCGCTGCCCTGCCCCTCCTCTCATCCCTGCCGCTGCATTCCGCAGGTCCTCATCGTTCATCGTCATCATCATCGTCATTACCAGCGCCATCGCCATCATCCACATCATCGTCACCTTCAAGGTCAATATCCTGCCTCTGTTCTCCGCAGGCCCACCGTTTCGGCACACACACACACACACACACAGACACCTCACGCGTTTCGTGGCCCCACAGGGAGCTCCACCAAGAACCCAAGGGGGGCAGCCCGCATGCGGGCCAACCGCTAATGTCTGCACACCCCTCACCCGCTTCGTGGCCCTACAGGGAGCTCCACCGACGGCCCCAGTGGGAGGGTTCGTATGGCACCACCGCACCCAAGTCGGCACACCCCTCACACGCTTCGTGGCCCAACAGGGAGCTCCACCGACGGCCCAAGTGGGAGGGTTCGCATGGCACCACCGCACCCAATTCGGCACACCCCTCACACGCTTCGTGGCCCCACAGGGAGCTCCACCGAAGGCCCCAGTGGGAGAGTTCGCATGGCACTACCGCACCCGATTCGGCACACCCCTCACACGCTTCGTGACCCAAGAAGGAGCTCCACCGAAGGCCCCAGCGGGAGGATTCGCATGGCACCACCGCACCCAATTCGGCACACCCCTCACGCTTCGTGGCCCCATAGAGAGCTCCGTCGAAGGCCCCAGCGGGAGGGTTCGCATGGCACCAGCGCACCCGATCTGGCACACCCCTCACACGCTACGTGGCCCCATAAGGAGCTCCGCCGAAGGCCCCAGCGGGAGGGTTCGCATGGCACCACCGCACCCGATCCGGCACACCCCTCACACGGTTCATGGCCCCACAGGGAACTCCACTTAATGCCCCAGTGGGAGGGTTCGCATGACACCACCACACCCACTTCGGCACACCCTTCACACGGTTCGCGGCCCCATAGGGAGCTCCATCGAAGGCCCCAGAGGGTTCGCACCGCGCTCAGTGTCACGAGTGCTCAGAGTCTGGAAAAGTCGTCCCTATCGCAAATGTTCGAAGTGTCGTTGTCAGCGACTTTCGCCCCTAACCATCCTGTGGTGTTTGGTCCTGGTTTTGGAAAAACAGCGCCCCGCGTTCTCCCGCCTCCTTCCTCCCGCCACCTCCCTTCTCCCACCCTGGCCGCTGCCCAATTCGCTCCGAATGCCCTTATCGTCATCATCACCACCAAAATCGCCGTCATCATCACCATTCTCATCATCATCATGGCCGTCATTACCGTACTAATTCCGGCACACCCCTCACACGCTTCGTGGCCCCACAAGGAGTTCCACCGACGGCCCCAGTGGGAGGGGTCGCATGGCACCACCGCGCCCAAGTCGGCACACCCCGCACACGGTTCGTGGCCCCATAGTGAGCTCTACCGAAGGTCCCAGTGAGAGGGCTCGCATGGCACCACCGCACCCAATTCGGCACACCCCTCACACGCTTCGTGGCCCTACAGGGAGCTCCACCGAAGGCAGCAGTTGGTTTGCATGGCACAATTCGGCACACCCCTCACACGCTTCGTGGCCCCATAGGGAGCTCCATCGAAGGCCCCAAGGGGAGGGTTCGCATGGCACCACCGCACCCAATCCGCAAACCCCTCAAACGGTTCGTGGCCCCACAGGGAGCTCCACCCAATGCCCCAGTGGGAGGTTTCGCATGGTGCCACCGCACCCAATTTGGCACACCCCTCACACGGTTCGCGGCCCTACGAGGAGCTCCACCGAATGTCCACATGCCAGCGTTTGCATGCGCCCACCGCACCCAATTTCGGCACACCCCTGACACGCTTCGCGGCCCCACAGGGAGCGCCACCGACGGCCCCAGTGGCTGCATTCGCATGCGCCCACCGCACCCATTGTGGCACACCCCTCACACGTTTCGCGGCCCCACAGGGAGCGCCACCGACGGCCCCAGTGGCTGCGTTCGCATGCGCCCACCGCACCCATTCTGGCACACGCTTCATGGCCCCACAGGGAGCTCCAGGGACGGCCCCAGCGGCTTCTTTCGCATGCGACCACCGCGATCACTTCTTTGGTACACCCTTGACACGTTTTGTGGCCCACAGGAAGCTCCTCCGAATGCGATGCATACAACGACGGTTCTGACAACTGCATATGGTTGGGTTCTTCGTCAAGCTAATCTTAATGCGCCTTGGGCGTCTCCTTGACGTATTCCGGGCGGTCGTTCGACCTGTCAGAGAACAGGGTTCAGTGCGGTTCGTCTCATGGTGTCGTCGTGCAACGTGGCGCACGGCTTCCCACAAATTATATTGCCCATATCTGTTCATCCAGTCCGAGGCTTGTCAAGTATCAGGTCTCCCGCGGATAGCCGATCCAGAAGCTGCCATGTCTTTTACCCAACCATCCACGCGTCACTCCTTCCCCTCCTTCCCCTCCTCCCCCTCCTCCGCATCCTCATCCTCCTCCTCCCTCCCTCCCTCCCCCTAACCATGCCTCTGCTCTCCGCATCGGTCTACCGTTTCGGCACACCCCTCACACGGTTCGTGGCAACATGGGGAGCTCCACCCAAGACCCCAGTGGCGCAGCCCGCAGGTGGGCGACACCCCCGTTTCGTCACACCCCTCACACGCTTCGTGGCCCCATAGGGAGTGGGCGACCCCCGTCTCGGCACACCCCCTTACACGTTTCGTGGTCCCACAGGGAGCTCCACCTAAGGCCCCAGTGGCGCAGCCCGCAGGTGGGCGACACCCCCGTCTCGTCACACCCCACACACGCTTCGTGGCCCCATAGAGAACTCCCCCTGAGGCCCCAGTGGCGCAGCCCGCATGTGGGCGACACCCCCTTTTCGGCACATCCCTCGCACGCTTCATGGCCCCATGGGGAGCTTCACCGAAGGCCCCAGTGGCGCAGCCCGCATGTGGGCGACACACCCTTTTAAACACACACACACACACACACACCTCACACGCCCCGTGGCCCCTCAGGAGCTCCACCGAAGGCCCCAGTGGCGCAGCCAGCACGTAGGCGACACTCACGCTTCGGTTCACCCCTTCACACGTTTCGTGGCCCCGTAGTGAGCTCCACCGAAGACCCCAGTGGCGCAGCCCGCATGTGGGCGACAGCACCTTTCCGGCACATCCCTCGCACGTTTCTTGGCCCCACAGGGAGCTCCTCCGAAGTCCCAGTGCTGCAGTTCGCCTGTGGGCGTCACACCCGTTTTGGCACACCCCTCACACGCTTCGTACCCCCATAAGGAGCTCCAGCTAAGGCCTCACTTGCGCAACCCGCAAGTGGGCGTCACCTCCGTTTCGGCACACCCTTCGCACGGCTCGTGGCCCCAAAAGGAGCGCCGCGCAAGGTCCCACTTGCGCAGCCAGCATGTGGGCGTCACTCCCGTTTCGGCACACCTCTCCACAGCGTAAGCTGCAGCGTAAGGTTGCTATGTCAAATTGCATAAGACTCGTTTCTTTTCGTCGCTCATGTCGAGTCGAACACGCACTGGCTGGTTCGGGGCGAGCAAGGGTCCTTGGGCTTCGTCTGCGTCCAGCTTCCCTTCTCGGTGCGGTCGAGATGGGTGCGGAAAGGATGGGTACGAAGACCGACAGCAGGTGCTCATTTTGCGCAGGACTCGCTGTCAGTGTCGCCGCGGGACAAGTTTCCATTTGAGACAGAAGGCGGCCTGCCCAAGAGCGGCCGACGTTGGTTTGGGAAAACATTTGCTTTTGGGCATCGTGCCCATTTTTTCCGTACCCAGTTCGGCGTCCACATCGACACGACCCTCACACATTTTGTGGCCCCATAGGGAGTTCCGCCGAAGACCATCCTCAAAACTGCGGCACTCACAACCGCAGATGGTTGGGTCTTTCGCCCGGCTGTTTTGACTGTTCGGTCACTTGACGGCTCAGGCCTCAAGCGACCCCACGACAATTGAGCACGACCACGCGTCAGTGCC